ATAATTTATCTTACTTTTACTATAATTATTATAAATTTTATGTAATTATTTATTTATTTTATGATTGTAATATGCCTTTATTATTAGAAAAGATATAATTATTATTCTTATTATTTAAATATTTATTATAAATTTAAGCTTATAATACTTTGTATTTTTATTTAAGTAAATTACAGTTTCCTATAGTATTTTAATAAGAAGATGATTACGTAGATGTAGATGTTTATATTTATTATGTTTATAAATGTAAGGATAAAGGCTTTTTAATTTATAATTATTAATTATTTTATTAAAATGAACTATTATTTAAATTATAATTAATACAATTGCTTAAATTTTTATTATTAAAAATCTATTTATAATTTTAATGAGTATTTTAGTTATTAGTATTACTTATATTTTTTTGAATTCATTAAATATTTAAAAAACTATTGTTATTAAAAATATTATTATTTATGATTATATTATTATTATTATTATTATTATTATTATTATTATTTTTATTATTATTATTATTATTTATGTCTAAATTTTCTCTTTCTTAAATTATATTTTAATTATCTTCTGTTTATACTTTCATTTTTATATAAGTAATACTTTTATTTTTATTCTCTATTTTTTTTTCAATTTATTAATTTTTTTTTAATTTATATTAAAATCACTTTAAGTTTTAAATCTAAAAAATTTTAAAAGTTTTTAACTTATAAATATTTTTTATCTTATATTTTAATTATCATATTTTGGATTTTTATTTTATATTATGTTATTTGTTATTTTTTTATATTTATATTTAAAAAACTATATTCAATTACTAAATAAATACAAAGTTTTAATAATAAAATTAATAAATTTTATTTAATATAAATATTGTTTATATTATATATCTAAATAGATTATTTTAATATAATTTTTTATTTTTTTTTATAAAAAAATATATCTTTATTGTTTTTTATTATTATTTTAAATACATTTGCATATATTTAATGAAATTTATAATCTAAATTAAAAATTAAAAATTAAAAATAAACATAAACAATGGATTGTATATTATTATTGGCTATCTAAATATTAATTAAATAATTTTATTATTATTAAATTAAAAAAAAAAATAACAATAAATATTTAATACAATTTGAAATAAAATACATAATATTATATATATATAAAAAATTTATAGCTATAAATTCATGTGCATCATTATAATTATTAAAATAAAAAAATAATTTCTGTTTATAATAAATTATATATAAAAATATAAAATTTATCAAAAATTCTATATATTATGAATAGATAAAAAATAAAGTTAATGTAAATATTTTTTTCATTTTTAATTGGAATATATAAAATATAAATTAATTATATATTATTATAAAAATAAATATAAAAATATTATAAAATAAATAAAAAAGATTAATTATTAATTAATATATATTTAATTCTAAATAAAAAATTTTTATAATTAGAAAAATAATTTTTTTATTAATAAATAATTAAAAATAATATAATATATATATATATACATATATATAGATATATATATAAACATATAGAAAAATATATATATATATATATATATATATATATATTTAATTATATATATATTTATTTCTTTATTCATTATCTTAATTTTATCATTTAAACAATTATATATCTATAAAATAAAAAAATATTATTTTATTATATTATTAAATTAATATTAAAGAATTATATAAGAATAATTTTTATTTAAATATTAAAAAATATTTATAATTTTTTTTTTTCAAAAATTACCTAAAAATTCATTTATATTACTTAATTTTTCTTTAAAGTTTAAATTTTCTTAGCTTTTTTATATAACTAAAGCAATAATATTATCTACTATACTTAAAGCATCCCCACTAGTAAGTATTTTGTCAAATTAATATTAATTTTGCCATTAAAGAATTACATTATTCCACAATTAAGTCATCATAGCTTTATCATTATCAAATAAGTATCCCTCTAGTGTAAAAACTTATTAGTCATTTCCAACTCTTTGAAGTGTCGGGAAACTTTTTACAATAAAAGTAACATTTACATCTCCTACTTTTACAATATTCTTACATATTTAAATGAATTTTGCTTCTTCTATATAAGCAAATTTTTTTTATTTTAATTAAAAAATTCAAACATTTTGGTAAATTTAATGTTTCTTTCTGAAAAAGCATTAAATGTTTATTACAAATTTTCCAATATAAATAGGTTTTTTTCATACGTTTCCTTTTTTTAAAGGCAAATTTCCTCACAGGATAAGTTTTATTCTTCATAAAATGAAAAATCACACTAAAATTCACTTTTTAGACAGTTTTCAAAGTCTTCCACTAATTAAGTTTTTGTGCATTTCTATTCTATTTACTCGGAACAAAAGTAATCGAATTTTTCACATTTTTCAATTTTTTCTACACATATAGTTTCGTATTCTTAGCAATTTATTGGGTCTTTGAATTTTTTACATTAGACAGCTTATTGGGTACATATATAAGTTTTTTAAGTACATATAAGTTCCTCTTTTAGGCAAATATTTTCTTTTTATACACAAATTTCTTTTTAGGAAAATTAAGAACATTTTTAAAGGAGAATCGAGTCTTATTGACATGAAAATTGGGATTTTTTACACACATTTTTATCACAAAGCTAGGCTTGTTGGAATTCTGTGAGTTTTTTTTATTAAAGTATTTTATTTTAGAAGTTTTGGAAGATTTTTTGGGTATTTTTTAACCATTATATAGCTTTTTATTGGAAAAAAAAGTTCAGGCTTTGTATATGATTGGGAAAAAAAAAACCATTGAGAATGAATTCGGAAGACTGTATTTCTTCTTAAAAAGGCGAGTTGAGTCTTAGTTTAATTTTATGGGAAGAAAAAAGGAAAATTTGTTCAGTTTCGATTAGAAAGCCGTATTTTTTAGTCGCAGAAATTTCTATTTCGACTGGGTTTCCGAAAAAAAGAACTTCTGGTTTAAATTTTAATTAGTTTAAGTCATTTATATTACTATTATTTTTATCTAAATGGACCAAAATGTAGTTTTTTGAGTTTTCTTTAGATAATAAAATAATGTTTTTTGCTGCTAAATATAATTCTTGGTATTTAAAAAGAGCATAAAGTTCTTTTTTTTCGTTTATATGGGTCACACAACTACTTTTAATGCCTAAAATGAAACAATGTTAGCTCTATATAGTGATTTAGTCAAGGAAAAGATTATTTTCGGTATCTTTTTTTTAGGCTAGAAAAATTTTAGAATAATCCATATAGGCGGTCAATATTGAACTTGATATATCTGTAGAGATTTCTAAAGGGGAAAAATTGGTAAAAATGTGTATTATTTGGGAAAAGGAGACTTTTTTTATATATGATGATAGTGCATTTTCTTGTATATTTTTTTCGGAAAAAAAATCGAGTTTTAATAATGAAGGACCGTAAAAGCATGAATTTTTTTAAAATATAGAATATTCTTGGTCTATTTTTTGCAAAAAACATTGGTCCATTTAACCAAAAATGGCCAAAGAAGAGAAACGAAAAGATCTTATTTCATAATTGAGTATTTTTGCTTTTATTTTAAGCTGATTTAGTTAAATGAAGTCTTTTTAGAAAATTCCTTTTAGGCTCTTTTGGCTTTCGCTGGTCAGTTTTCCGTCAGGATCGTTTTTATCGTAGTATATTAGAACGTTAAAGGGATAGTTTTAGTTGTTTAAAGGAAGATTGAGGAGGCCACGGATGTAAAATATGTCTTTTTTGATTTATGTTTGTGAGTTTTATAAGATATTTTATGAAGGTTCGAAATATATGCATAGTTTGGGATTTTTAATGGATATTTTTTAAGATAATTTTATTTCTGTATTTTCAGGATATTCATGTACTAATTTAGTTCCTTTTTCAGGATCATAAGTACCTTAGAGTATTATTTTTTCCGTACTAGGAAGATTTTATTATAAATAGAGACACATATAGTCGTTATTTTAGCATGAATTTAAGGAAGAGATGTATTTTATTTAAAGTCCTTGGGCATATATATGCTATTATTAGTCATTAAAAAGATCTTTATTTGAATATGAGATGTGTATTTATTAGGGAGAGGTAATAAATTTATTAAAGGAAGGGAAAAAAGTCTATAAGTTTTCATTTTTAAGGAAAATATAGATGAAAAAGGAGTTTTTTTGAAAAATAATTTTACTTTCGAAAAAACCTATGTTTTACCAGGAGAAAGTGGTTATTTTAGCGTTTGTGAGAAATACTGGAGATGCTTAATTTTCGAGTTGGATTTCTATATTTATTTCATTTAAAAAAAGGATATTTGGGTTTAAGAAGTTTTAGGTTTTTTAATTAAAAGTTACTATGTTTTGACTTTCGGTTATTTTTTGGAAAAAATCATTTATTAAGGTTTATAGGGAAAGCTCTTTTTGGGCCATTCTGATGTAGTAAATTTCCTAGTTTTTAGTTTTTTTTATATGAAGATGTATATATTCAGCGAAATCTTGTATTTTACATAAAAGATTATTCGAGTCAAGGAAAAAAGTGTTCCTTTTGAGATTTTTATTTAATATAATCCAGCCTGAGCATTGATTTAACATAATGTCTTTACTAATTGAAAAAGATGGGATTTTATCAAAGGAAAACATAAGCTAGTAATTTAAAGTCTGTTTATTTAAAATTAAAATGAGCTTATTTATTTGGAGGTTTTCAATTAATTTTATACCTTTTTTTAATTATATATCTTATGTTATTTCATTAAGGTTTTCTATAGAAATCATTTTAAAGGCTTGTTTTTGGAAAGAAAGTATATTTTTTTCATTTTCACTTTCATTTTCTAATATAAGGTTTATTTCGGGATTTTCTAGTGAATTTTTGTCCGTGTAGAAATGTATGTTTGTTGAATATGAATTTATTTAAATTTAACCGAAATAAAAAGTGGTTAGGTTTTCCTGTAAAAAAGCTATATTGAAAATTTAGAGGAGAGTATTACTGTCTAGTTAAGTGGATATCTTTTAACCCGAAATTATTATTTGGAAATTTTTGTATGTAATTTATTGGAAATTATTTTGGAAGGAAACTTAGAGGAAAAAATAGTCGATTTATTGCCTTTTTTCAAGCTAAAATAAGTCGCTTTTCATATACTTATTTAATGGATTTCCGGAAAAAGACTTCAGAATTTCCTCTATTTCGACTTTTTCAAAGATTTCGGAACTCCCGAAGCATATTTTGCCTTCAGGGGAAAAACCGGCGAGTAAATTTATGTCTGTCTTACCAAATAGTGATGTTATTTTTCTATATATTCGCTCGAATTCAATTCCTTGGTTGTTTATATAGCCTACATTATAATAGGATTCTTGAGAAAGGAAATATACTTGCTGAACTTGGCATATTTCGCATATTTATTACATTGTTTTTTGCTGTTTTTTATTTTCTTCGGAACATACTCCATATATATTGCCGTTTAGATAATTTTTGTTGTTGTTTTATGAATTCTAGTCTTGTTGTATTAATATTTTTTATTGTTAAATATGCTCAATTGTGTTTCCGTTTGGAGTCTAGAAGTCTTAATAGGTTTTATGCTAGTATTTATTAAATAGATTCTATGTTAATTCTTGAGTTAAAATTTTGAATTAAGAGTCTTTTTCATCATCAGTTTTATAACCGGATTGTTATTTTACAAATTCAAGGGGAGATAGGGATTATTTTTCAGTTTCTTAGGTGTGCTAAGCTGTTTATTCGAATATTATAGGTATTTCGGTTATTATTTATGGCTGGGTTTATCGTAATTTTAATTAATTAGAATTTTATATTAGTATAATGATATATATTAGATATTATATGGATAATTTTATATTCATTTTTATTATTTATTTGTTTTTGTTATTTTTATTATTATATTTTTTTTATTATTTATTTCCTTTTTTTTATTTAATTCCTTTTTTTTTTGAAAATTATTTAATTAAAAATACGTTTTTTTCTTTTAGTTTTTAATATTTAATTATTATTGATTGTATTTTTTGTTTTTTTTCGTTTTTACCTTTTTATTTAACATTTTTGATTGATAATTAAAAATAATTATAAGAAATCTATAATTTCTTCAAAACTGAAAAAAAAAATATTATATATTATTTATAATAGAAAGATTAAAACATTATAAATAAACTTTACATATATATGTGCACATTTTTTAATAAAAACATATATTGGAAGTATTTAAAAATATTCATAAACTTTTATTTAAATATATTTATGTATTTAAGAAATAATTTTTTTTGTTAATATTAACTTTTTATTATTATAAAATAATTTTTTTTTAAAAAAAAATTTAAATTATTCAATTATTTTTGGAATAATTTAAAAAAAAATATTTTAAAAGCCATTTTTTTTATTAAACAAGAATTTTTTAAAATTAATAATAACTAATAAATCAAAAAAAAGATTAAAAAAGTAATAATATATAAAAAAAAAGTTTAAAAACAAGAAATTGACCACTAAAAATTTATCAACTTATTACAAAGGCTTTTTTAAAAAAATCACCATAAAAATATATACCAATATAATTACTTAGGTATTACATGCAATTGCATTTATATATAGTTTAATTCGATAAATATCCAGCCGAAAAACTATTAAAAAATATTCCACTATTATAATGTAAGCAATTACTAGAAATAGCTATCTATTTAATTTATAATGAGTTAAAAAAAAAATCAGAATATTTAAAAAAATACTATCACTATTATATAAAACATATTATCTAGAAGAAGTAAATCAAAATTGACCATCTGGGCACAATATAATAAAATAAATAAATAAAAATATATATAATAGTACAGTATGTTATATCCTTTATCTAAATAAATTTAACTAATTTTCAATGAGACTTTTTTAAAGGGTTTATTGAGGAAAAAGAGGGGGAATTTTTTTATAAAGATAGAAAATAATATTAAATATATTGGATTAATAATGAAATGCATTAATATAGTATAATTATTAATGGTGTAAAAATTTCTTATATTGAGACTTCCTTTCTTTTAGTTATTTACATATTTACATGCTTTATCTTTTTAAATTAATAAAACTAAAAAAATAATCCAAATTTATAAAATTTTTAAAGAATTACTAAAAAGTTATATATATTAACACTATTATAATAAGTTTGATAAAAATAATTAACAATATTAATTAAAATATGTATTTAATTTTCTATGGTGTAAATAAATGAAAATAAAATATTCAATATAATATATCTATAATGAAAATTACAAAAAAATAATTAATATTTTAAATTTTTTAAGAAAAAAAAAAAAAAATTATATATATTTAAATATAATAAATTAAATAATCTACAAAAAAACATTAGATTTCATATTTTTAATTTTAAAAATTTTACTATATGAAAGCTTTGGTAATATATATATATATATATATTTATTAAATCTAATTTATTTATTATAAATAATTATTTTTATATATTTATATATATTCACATTTTTTTAATATAATAATTTTATTAAGTTAATCAAAATACAAATAAATTTATATTTAAAAAAAATAAATCCTAATAACATGGCATTAACATAAGAAGAAATGTACGAAGATTTAAAATGTATTTTTAAAGAGGGTTGGTTAAAAAAATAATCCAAATTTTTTAAATTTTGGAGGAGGTGATAATATTTTTTGTTTTATATAAAATAGATAAATATATATTTAATTTTTTTAAAAGACGGTGGTTTGTATTAACTTAAACTAAATTATATACGTTTAAAAATTGCCGAAAATATAAAAATCCAACTGAATAAATTAGTTTAATAAATATTGAAAGTATAAGTTCTGCAAAAGATGAAACAAATAAACTTTATTCTATTGTATTATTAATTTAACTTTTTTTTTAAAAAAATATTTTTATTTTTTATTTTTTTGTAGAAAATTAAAATTAATGGTGGAATAGAATATTATATAGAAGCAGAAACAAATAAAGAATAAGAATTATGGGTTTAATTGATTGGTATTTAATTATTATTATATTATTATTATTTAAATTATATTAAGGTAACTAAATCATTGCATAATAAAAAAAATGAATTTTGTATATATTATTAAGAAAAATATGCATATATGTTAAAAATGTTTAAAAATTTGTATAATTTTTAATAAAATCTTAATTAAAAACATAATATCGAGTTAAAATATTTATATATCAATAGATTTTTTTTTAAATAATTTTTATTAAATTTCAAACTTTTAAAATTTGCGATTTTTTGAAATTTTTTACTTTTTTTTCAAAATGAAAAAACCTTAAATATATTTTTTTAAAAAAATAATGTTATACTAATATATTTTAAAATATGTTTTTGCCATAAATATGTATGATTTATTAATAGTTTAATTATAGTATTTTTGCTTATATTATATTCATTAATTTTTTATTTTATTGGATATTAAAATAGATTAAATTTTTAGCTAATTAAATTTTTTATATTTTATCTTATATAAATAAAAATTGTAATTATAAATGCATTTAATATAAAATATTATATTAAATAATGTTAGTAATTTATATCTGATATGTAAAAAACATATATATTTCCTATAAAATAATTATAAAGTATCTTATATAATTATATTAATTTAAAAATATAAATGAATTATTATTAATAAAAATTAAAAAAAATCGCCTAACAATTATAATAAAATATTATAAAAATCAATTAAAAAAATAACAATACACAAAATATAGTTAAAAACACAAAACTAATATATGGGAATATGCAATTCATATTTTTAAGAAAATCAAGAAATAAATCCATATAATATTCCAATGGAAACTCAACCAATATTATTAGAAACCAATAATTTATCCTATTAAAAATTAATCAAAATATAAGCCTATATACGTGGTCATTAATAAAGAAAATACATTGAAGAAGTAAAAAAAAAAGAACAATTAGACGCACCTCATACTCAAATAGCAATTGTATATAATGGAGTAATTAAAAGTAATAAATATTAAGTATAAAAAATTCTATAAGAAATCCCAAAATTTAATTGGCCATAAAGACCTGAATTTAAGGAATTAACAAAACTAGGTCCCTATAAAATTTTAAAAACAGGTTCTATATATAAAGGTTAGTGGAAAAATGGGAAAAGAAACGGTAGAGGTATTTAATGTTGGCCAGATGGATCTATTTATTAAGGAGATTGGGAAAATGACATGGCTAATGGAAACGGAAGATTAATTCATTCTGATGGGGATTATTATTAAGGTTAATGGCTTAATGATAGGGCTAGTGGAAAAGGTTTTTTGTTTATTCTGTATTTATAGGTTTTTATATATTTTTAAAAGGCGTTTTTATTCACATTGATGGATAAAAATATGAAGGAGATTGGAATAACGATGAATAACATGGTTATGGAATTGAAACTTAAGACCTTTTTGTATATGAGGGTTATTTTTAAAATGGATTAAAACATGGGTAGGGTTAATTGTACTGGAAAGAAGATGGAAGTATTTATAAAGGCGAATTTTTTAACGGTTTAATTTAGGGATAAGGGAAAAAAAATTATAAAGAAGGAAAACAATATTAAGGATAATGGAAAAATTGTAAAATGCATGGATATGGAGAAATAATTTATGCAAATGGAAAGTCTTATAAAGGTAACATATATATATATATTATACTTTTTTTATGTAATTTTTTTTTTTTTTTTCTAAAAAACTCAAAAATGGTATATAAGTATTTTTTATTTTTATTGAATTTTTAAAAAACTTATAAAAAAATAATAATTTATATAAATTAGGATATTTTGAAAATGATTAAAAAAGTGGATATGGAGAAATGATTTATCCTGATAAAAAGATATATAAAGGTTATTGGAAAAATAATAAATATGATGGTGAAGGGTAAGTTATTTTGCCAGATGGAAGAATAGGGAAAGCTATATGGTAAAATGGTTAAATAATTAAAAGTTTAGATTGATAATTTTTATACAATTTATTGAAAAAACATTTATTATTTTGTTTATACTAATTTATTTTGTATATATAAATACTTTAAATCTTTATTATTATTATTGAAATTAAATAATATAATAATATTTATTTAAATATATATTTAAATAATATCTATATAATATATAGACTCTTTATATTTAAATGGAGTATTATAATTAATAAATATTTAATTAATATATGAATTAGACAAAAAATAAAAAATCTTATTATTTATTATTAAAAATATTAGTATATTATTACATAAGTATATATTTTTTACTAATTAATATCTTAAATTAAGTAAAATAATTTATTTTTTAGTTTTTATTTAAAAAAAAAACAAAAACAAAAATTATATTAAAAACTAATATTATATATATATATAAATATAATATAATTGAATTTAATTAATATTTTTTTTGTTTAAAGTAAAAAAATGTATTAATAATTCAATGATGAATAACCAAATAAAATTATTGATGCCAAAAACAATAATAAAATTAATTAAACTGATAATATAGAAATAATGAATTTCGAATAATTAGAAAATTCTTAAATATTACAGTCAGATAATATATCTATTAATATTAATAAATTTTAAGATATTTAATAAAAAACAGCTTATTAATTTAGAGCTTTATTTTATAAAAGTGTAGCTTTATAATCAAAATAAATGGGAACAAATATATGTTAAGTATAAAAAAAAAAGAAATAAAATATACATTTATTATTAAACATAAAAATAAGGTTATTACACCTCTAATATGTTTGTTTTTTGTTTATTTAATAAAAAAACTTGCCGAAAGCTAATTTGGAAGTACTTTTACTTTTGATTATCCTTTCTTATTTAATATTCCTAGTTTATATTAAATGTACCCTTATATGAAAAATATAACATGTCTAGAATGGTATGAATATGCATTCGATACAAATTCAACTTAACAAACCAAAGATTTTATAGGATATAATAGCGGGCAAAAAAATGAAATTCCAAAAGGAATGCTTGCTAATATCTAGTAATCAAAAAATGACTGCTAGTTCTAACCCTCTAAAGAAACTCCAAGTTAGAATCGTTCAGTACCTTTTTTTACTTAGCCCGTAAATATTGAATATAAATATTTATATATATATATATATTTTTTATTATTATTTTATTTTTAACAAAAAAAGATTAATTAAACTATTAATGAAGATATTTATAATTCTTTGTTTTATTTAAATAATGTTCCTTATAAAAGAGGATCAGATCTTGAAAGTATTTTTTTTTAATTTAAATATATAAAAATATATATAAATATATATAAATATATATATATATATATTAATATATTTATATATATAACTATATATTAAAAAAAGGTCTTGATATATTACCTGATGGCGCAATATAATTTTCCGAAGCTTCGAAAGATAAACTTAAATATAAAATACAAATTAACGATTTGCGTATACCTGAATACCATCGAAACAATGGTGTTACTAAACTAACGTAAAAAATAAAAAATAAATATTTTTTTCAAATATATATAAGTTTTCAAATGCCAGAAATGGACTAAGCAATGAGCGAATTAAAAGTAGCAGAAGGCTAAATATCATTAGTTGATTTAATTAGTAGAGCCTATTATAAACTTTTAATCCTGATGTTTATTTAATTTCTGGAATTCAATATATGCCTTTAGTAGGTGAAGGTAAAGCATTTATAATGAGAATAAATAGTATTACAGGAGCGAGTTTATACCCTTTAGCATTAAGTCTTCTATTACCTATTTTTATGTATATAATTGTATTAGAAAAAGAGGAAAAATTATTAGAAATGATGAAAATGAACGTAATGCAAATGCGTGATTATTGGTTAATGATATTTTTATTTTCCTTATTAATAACAATAATTACATATACACTATTTTATATTTTTGGATATTACGTTTTAAAGTTATCATTTTTTACTATAAACTAATATATATCTACTAGTAATAATGATTAATATATATATATATATATACATATATAAATTTATATATATATAGATAGTATCATTTTTCGGATGGGGATTAAGTTAGATTGGAATTTCATTTTTTTTTAAGTCTTTTTATCAAAAGCGCGTTCTGCAACTATTATAGGTTACTTACTATCTATATGGACTAGTTTAATATCTGTTACAATAAACGCTGCAGTTTATCCAGATCCTTACGAATTACCTTATTTAATGAGATTATATCCTCCTTTAGGGTTTTCTCGATTAATGTATAATTTTTCTTTCGCTTGCTCTAATGGTTAGTGTTTTAGGCATTTCGAGAGTTTAACTGAAGAAATAAAAGATTGTATTTTCTATTTATATATCGGTTTTTTTTTCTTTACTTTCGCAGGGATTTATTTACATGAAGTTTTTCCACAAGAATTCGGGATAACTTAACATTGGCTTTTTTGCTTAAAAAAATTTAAGAGGAAAAGAAACCAAATTTTAGAATAAAAAGAAAGCAATTAAAATATCTTGGAAGTGGAATTATAAGAAGACTAAGATTCGAAAAAAGAGAGAATGTTTGTACAAAGCATTCATTTTGAAGATTTAAAAAAATACCCTTTAGTAATAAAAGACTTGAGAAAAGTATATAAGCCAGTAGGTGGTAGACCAGAGCATGTGGCAGTCAAAAATCTTTCTTTTTGTATCAAATAAGGGGAAATTTTTGGACTTTTGGGACCTAATGGGGCCGGAAAAACTACTCTTATATCCATGATTACAGGTATTTATCCACCTTCGAAGGGTAATGCTTGGGTTGCAGGGTACGATATTATTAATAATATGGAATATGTGCATTTAAATATTGGAGTTTGTCCTTAATTTGATCTTTTGTGGCCTGATTTAACTGTTGAGGAACATTTGTTATTTTATGCAAGATTAAAAGGAATCAAACCGTCTCAGGAAAAAGAAAAAGTACAGAAAGCAATGAAAGAAGTGCTTTTAAGTGAAAGAGCAAACTTTAAAATTAGCGAACTTTCTGGAGGTATGAAAAGAAGACTTTCAGTTTCGATTTCTTTAGTAGGAGATCCGAAAATCATTTTCTTAGATGAACCTTCAACTGGTTTAGATCCAGAAAATAGAAGATAATTATGGGAAATATTGGCTTAATGCAAAGGGAAAAGAGCGATGGTTTTAACAACTCATTCTGTATATTTATTTATATATATAAATATTTAAAATGTTATAATATATATATTTTTTATATATAATTAGATGGAGGAAGCAGATATTCTGTGTAATAGAATCGGAATAATTACAAATGGAAGTTTAAGATGTATAGGATAATCAGTTAGTTTGAAAAATCTGTATGGCGGAGGGTATCATTTATATATTAATTGTCATAAGGAAAAATATTTGGAGAATTATTTAAATGATGAAGAGAAGAAGCAAATTAATTAGTATATAAATTATAAGATAAATAAATATAAATATACAATATATATATATATATATATATATATATATTTATTTATTAATAATATTTTTAAAATAGAGATGTTTAAAGATAAAAATTACTTGAATTTATTTAAGTTTTATTACCAAGATCTAAAAAAGTATCAGAATTTAATACTAATTTTGTTTTCTAAGTTCCTTAGGATGGTCTTAAAATTTCTTAAATATTTGAAGAATTATAAAAAAAAAAGGAAGAATTAAGAATATCAGGCATATATTTTTTTTTTTATATATATTTTTAATAATATAATTTAGATTGGGGAATTTCATAGTCTAGTTTAGAAGATGTTTTTATGTAAATTGTAGAAACTACATAATGAACAATAAATTATGTTATAGAAAATTATAATTAAATAATATAAAAAGAATAGATATTTTTTTTATAATTAAAAATACTTATTATAAAAATAAATAAATAATATATAAAAACCCATAATAATTAAAAATAAATTAAATATAATTAAAAAAAAAAAAAATATAAATAAAACTAATTAAATAGTAACAAAAAAAAAGTTGTCAAAAAAATAATATTTTTTCTTGAAAGAGAGAAAATAAGCATTATTCTATTTTACATATAGTTTAAAGCAAATGACAGCTTTAAAAAAATATATTTGTCTTTAATGAGGAGATGTTAAAAATAAAGTCTAAATTCACCTCTACAGATACGGGACAAACATTTTATAAAATATATATATAATTATTTTAAAAAAACATTTTAAAAATAAATATAAAATAAATTATTAATATAAAAAATTATATAACAAAAAATTATAATATATAAAATTAATTATATATTATATATTTTTATTTTTTAAAATATTAATATATTTATATTAATTAATTTATATATATTTTTCTCTTTAAATTTAATATATTTAAATATTAAATGTATAATATATTTATTCAATATTTTAATTTTTTTATATTTCTTATTTTGATTTTCTTATATATATTACAAATTTATTATATAGATATCAAAAAGAGAAGCTATAAAGTTAAAATTTATAAAATTTTATTTTAGTTATTGATAAATTTTGAAAATATTATTTTTTTAATAATATTTTATTTTTTGTATAAAATATAAAATCTTAAGTTTTAAATATTATAGTATTGAAAAAAATAAAATTTTAATTAAAAAAAGATAATATTATATTATTTAAATAATATATATAAACCTTTAATAATTAGACATAATTATTTAATTTATAAAGATTTCTATATAAAAATAAAAAAAATACAAACATAATTTAATTATTAAATCAAAATTTAAGAAAAGCATTAAAAAAAAAGTAACTATTTTTTTATATAATATAAAAAAAAAAAATTATATTTTTTATTAAAAAAATAAATAAAATTTGATAATTAATATTTTTTATTTAATAAAAAATACATATAATAAACTAATATAATATGACAGAAATTATTAAAGAATCGTTTTATCAAGATAAGTTATATCAGCTTTCAGTTACTAGCTGGGGAGAAGAAGAATAAAAATAAAGACTAAATCGAAGATTAAATGAATTAAGCAAAAACAATATGACATAAGAAACAATAAAAAACTCGTTAAAAAATTTAGGTAAAACATCTTAAGGATCGAGCTATGCATTTTTATCATTTATAGCAATTTAAAAAGATTTATATAGTATAATAGTAATATTTAAATTTATATGTTATATATATATATATATTTATTAAAATATATATTTATTTATTTTTATATTTAATATATTTATATTTAATATACCAATAGGGAATTGAAAATTATAAGCATTTATAATATATTGATGTTTCTCATAATAATTTAATTACTTTAAAACCTTTAAATTCTTTAAAATATATTACTCATTTAAATGTTTCTCATAATAATTTAAATAAATTATTAGATTTTAAGTATTTCTCATTAAAACAAAACTATATATATATATATATATATATTTTATATATATATATATATATATATATATATATAAATATATATATATATTTATATAAAATACATATATTTATTTAGGGAAATACCTTATAATTTAGAAGAAGTAATATCAAGCCATAACTAAATATAAGTAATTCCTGACTTATCAGCTCATAAATATTTAAAAAAATTAGATTTATCACATAATAAAATAACATAAATTTAAGGACTTAGTAAAAATGATAATCTTTCAGTTTTAAAACTAGCTTTTAATAATATAGAAACAATAGAAAATTTAGATGATTTAAATATATTAGAATTAGATTTAATGGGAAATTAAATATAGTTAATTTAAGGTTTAAAATAATTAATATACTTGAGAAAATTAAATCTTTCATGCAATAAAATAGTTTCGTATAAGATATATATATATATATATATATATATATATTTATATTTATATATATATATATATATATAAAAGATTAAAAGGTTTAATTTATTTAATATAATTAAGAGAATTAAAATTATCAGATAATTAAATTTATAGAATCAAAGAACTTCATAATTTATAAAATTTAGTATTTTTAACTGATTTAGATCTTTGTTTTAATTTAATTCAAAATAAAAGATTTTATAGATATTAAGTATTTTATTATTATTCAAAAAAATTAAATTATATCTATATTAATAAAATAAAAAGGTTTTATAAAGACTTCCTGGTTTAAGAGTTTTAGATGGAGTAATATGTTCATGTGAAGAATTTGTGAAAGCCGAAAATTTATATGGAAATGATTTAGAAGATCGAAAAAGAATATTTTGTGAAATTTTACCTGAAGAAGAATTTATTGATAGAAGAGTTAATATTTGTGAACTTATAGAACCTGAAACTGATAGTGATAATGATTTATAAATACAAATTGTTGATTAATATAATAAAGAAGGCGATATAATACATTAAGCAACTGCTAAAACTTTATCATCTATGTAAAGAACAGGTGAAGTTGCTATTGAAAATGATACTAAAAGACAATCATAAAATTTTGAATAAACAAATAACTTTAATAATAATTAAACTATTTATGAAAGAAAAAGTAAAAGTGTATTTGAATAATACGAAAATTTAAAAATTAATAGTAGGTCAGGTAGTTTAACTAAAAATTAAATGTCTTTAAAATAAAGCAATTGACTTATGTTTATTTAATAAATGTATGATTTTTTTATATATAATTATATTTTGATATTATAAAATAAAAAAAATGAAAATTTATTATATTTATAAAATTATTATACTTTAATTATATTTAAGTATAAATATAAATATAAAAATAAATATATATATATATATATATATATATATATATATTTATTTATTTGTTTTAATATTTATCTTATTTTTACATATTTTTTTGTTATTACATATTTTTTTTTTCATTATTTATTTATATATTTTTAGACAATTTATTCTAATTCTGGATTATCTTAATAAATTTTCATTTGAAATTTATTATTTGGTACTTAATATTATTTAATAAAACCATCATTATTATTTTTATCAATTTTATTACTATTAAAATCACTTTATGTCACATAATTTGATTATTCATATATAATATCTTAATTTATAATTTATTTATTCCCTTTACAATTTATATTAAATTATATTTCAGTTTATTTATTTTACAATAGAAATTATTAGTTTATTTTTTAAGTTTTTTCTAAAGATTGTTTAATTATTTAAATTGCTTCTTGATTTTATATAGCTTATATTATCATTTTTTTTTCATTTTCCTTTCTTTCTATTTCTTTTTTTTTTTACTATTCTTACTCAAATGTTATTTGTTCATCGTTTTTAAAGTCTATATTAATTTTTAAAAAAGCTAAATTTGTTACTTTTAGTCTTTCGCATATTCTCTTTCCAAATAACGTCATACATTGGCTTAACTAACGGTCCAAAATTCTAAAATCAGGTCTTCTTTCTTCATAAACATCACACATTTAGGTAATTATATCAATAAATTCTTTCTTATAAATACCATTTAGAGACTTTAATTTTTAGTATAGAATTTCTTCATTAAAAATCCCATTATTATATATATCTTGTATATTTTTACCCAAAGCCAATTATAGGATAATCATACCTAAAGTAAAAACATCACTTTTATAACTATTATGTACTGGCTTTTATACTTTTTACTATAACTATTAAAAAAGAACCGGAGATAAATAAAAACAGTTATTTTTATGACCTAGAAGTAGATTCGAATAATTAGATTATAAATCAAAAAGTTAAGGATCACTTAGTTTATAAAGTTTTATATTTTTATGATTATATGTTATAAATATAGTTTATAAATTTAAAGCTTGGTGCTCTATTTCTCTTTCTTGTAAATATTCTAAGGCGCTTACTAATGAATCTAAAATAAACCATAATTATTCTTCTGTATATGTTTTATATAAAATTAATTATTCTTCTAAGTTATTTTATATGGAATCAAATAATAAACATATTTGATAAAATGTAGAACAAAAAGTCTCTATTTTATTACCTGAAACACCTTTTTTTTATTATTATTAAAGATTATATTATAATAATTATTAATTTTTTTCGTTTTTTTTTTTTTCTATAAATTTAATAGGATTATTTTAATATTTTTTATATAACATTTACCATGTAATTATATTAAATTTAAATGCTGTATATCTGTATAACGGGCTTACCAATATCCTTTTTATATTTCATATTTTTCATCTAAATTTAATATGATTTCTTTTAGATATAATGTAAATATTTTATTATATTTGCATGTTAATATTTAAACTGTTTGATAAAAATTAGATTTATAATTGGAATTTGAAACATAAAATTTTTAGAGTATTTTATCATAAATTTCTTAATAATCTATTGTTTGATTTCTAAATTTTTGATCATCTTAATTTTCTATTTCTTAGTCATTTAATATAGAAGTAATTTGACCCATTTTATTTTATTTTAAAATAAATATTTATTTTAAAAAGATTATGTATGGTTATTATAAAAATATATATAAATATATATATAAATATAAATAAATATATATATATATATATATATATATTATATATATATAAATATATATATATATATATTTATATTTATTTTACATATTCTTGTATATATTATTTTTTTTTAAAAAAAAAATTAATATATTCAATTTCTTAATAAATTAATTAATTTTTCTTTTTAATATTTTTTTTTATTATTATAATTTTTTTAAAAAAAATTTTATCTTATTTTTATTTTAATATATGTTTAATTTTTATTTTTTTTATTTTATTATATACTGTTTTTCAGACTATTATTTAATATTATTGCTTATTACAAATTTCAAAATATTTAACAATATTTTGTTTTTTAAAAATTAAAATTTCAAAAATAATTTAATTTAAATCAAATAATTAGATAAAATATTAATATGTAAGAACAAAGCCTTAGTAATTAGAATTAGATTACATCTCGTATTGACTATTTAAAATGGGTTAATTAGATCTTAAAGGTTTTTCATATTTTAAAAAATGATAAAATAAACTAAAATCAATATTATTTATTGAAAAAAAGACTAATATAAAAAAAATCGAATAATTAGGAACAGGATCCATATATTGTTAATTATTAGATTATTTTCATCCTTGTTCGGTATAAAGTAAAAAACTATAAATATATAGTTTTTTCTAATATATATAATTATTTAACATTGTTTTTTTTTCTATTAATTTATTTTTTAAAAACTTCAATTAAAAAAATAATAATACTAAAATCCGCATTTACTACGATTTTTTTATTTTTTATTATTTTTTATACGGGTTTTATTTTATTTTTTTAAAAAAATACAGAAAAAATAATGTTAAAAAGTATTATATATAAATTTGAAATAAAAAAGTGCGAAAAGTAAATTGGAAAGCAAAATCAGATTATGAATATGTCCAAAATTTTAAAATCTTATAATAGGGATTTGACAAAGTAAAAATAAATAAGCCAATAGATGTTGCTAAATTAATAAAATGTAAATATTAAGATAATTTGGAATTTTTATAATGGATGAAAAAATATAATGACGAACATAATAAGTAAAATAATAGTTATGATGCTATAGCGAGAAGAAATTAAAGCGAAAATAAAAAAAAAATCATTAATAAAAATCTTAATAGAGTCTTAATACTTTAAATATATAAAATTAACATTAATAATAATAATTATAACCTTTATATTAAAGTTCAGTTTCTAATATTTCATATGAAGAAGAAGAAAAATAATAATAATCAAATAATTAATAATAAATATAATAATAAATTATATAATAAAATTAATCTAATTATAAGTTTGAAAGAGATATTTATATAGAAAATTTAAAATGTGAAAATAATCATTATTTGAGATAATTAAAATTAATTGATGAATTAATAGATTTAAATGAGCATTAAAATGTAAGTGAAATTAAAAAATAAATTAAATAAATACTTTATGCAACTCCGAATAATCTTTTACATATTTAGAAGATGGGACTGTAGTTTTGGGAGAATAGACTACAAACTTTTCAGATTAAACAAATATTTTGATTGATAATAGTAGTAGTATTGCTGATTTGAATTTAATTGATGGTAATTTTGTAGAAAATAATAATGTTAATAAGGGTCTAGTGTTTGAAAACTGTGCTGAAGATTCAGGATATACAAAACAGTTTTCGGATGTTAAAGATTAATAAGGAAATGTTAATTTCTCTATTTTAAGGAAAAATAATTAAGAAGGTGAAAGTATACTAAAATAATTAAATAATATTAATTTTGACTAAAACTTGTTAAATAACTGATATAAATATATAAATAAATCTTTATTTGTATATTATTAAAATTATAATATTAATAATTAATAAAGGAAAAACTATATATCATATATAGAAAAAAAATTTTTGTTCTAAAAATTAAATATAAATAATTATACTATTATTTTTACTTATTTAATTATTTTATCATTGATATATATATTTATCACTTTTAAGACATAATATATAAAAGATAATATTACATAAAAAAATAAAAAAAAAATATAATTAATAAAAAATATAAGTATTTATATTAATTTAAATTATATTTCTAATATTTATTTATATTATATAATATATATTTTAAATAATTTTTTTTTTTATATATATAACATTTATTTAATTATATTTATTATTCTTTATTAATTTATTTAATTTAAAATATTTGGAATCTAAATATTAATTATTAATGACATAAATATATTAATATTATTTTTTATATTTATTTTAAATTTTTTGTTATCATTTTTCTATTAAAATAATTTAAATTTATTATATATATGTTTTAAAATATATATATTATTTAACTCGTTTACATTTAAATTTATTATATATATGTTTTAAAATATATATATTATTTAACTCGTTTACATAAAAAAAAAAATCAATTTATTTTATTTTCATCACTCAATATTTATTCTGTGTCATCATCTGAAAATTAAAGCTTTTATTCCTATTAATCTTCTACAGAAATACTATTTTTTTCATTTTTTATTTATTCCCAAAGGAAAATCTAAGAATTTAATTCTTAGTAAATATCCTTAGTTAATTATATAGGAGAAGGCACTATATATATTTTTTCATCAATTATTTATTTAAGATAATCTTAAACCCACTAAAATTTCATAGAAAATTCATTTATAAGTATTTATTTAAATTCATTATTTTTATTCGAATACTCTCCTATCCATTTTAAGAAATTTAAAACTATAAAATCATCAGAACGACATAAATTGTTCATTTTTTAAATGACATTATTAAATTTTTTGTACGTAAAAACTCCTATACCCTTTCTTCCTATATATCATCATTTAAATCAAATATTGCTTCTAAGAATTTCAATATATATTCAAGCTTATTTAATATTATAAAAAATATAAATTGGCATATACATATAACTTTTTAAAAATACATTATATGTATCCATTCTAAATGAACAAATAAGTCTTTTTAATTCTTATACTAAATACATTGATTCCTCATAATTTCCCCAAACCAAATGTTAGGCTAATATAATAGGGTCTGTCGAATGAAAAGCGATTTTGAAAAATACATTTTCAAAATAATACAAAAACATAGTTTAGATTTCATAATTTAAATTTAAGATTCTTTCGTTTTGTTATTTTATATATACAGGAGAAGGTTTTTTAAATAATTTTATTCCTATAGTTTATGACCTTAATCCTATTTAAGTAATTATATTTGAAATTATTTTTAAGTTGCTAAATATTTAAAAATCTTATACCTTTTAATATATATTGATATAAAAAATATATAATATATTACTTAGGACTAGTTTTATTTTAATACTGAGTTAATAAAAAATCTTAATAGAATTTCTATAAAATTCTATTCATCATTTTGATCAAAGAAATAAATATATTCATTTGAAGATGTTATTAAGTATTCAAGGAGGGACAAATAATTATTACATTTAACAAAGTTATTTTAGAATTAATTATGTAAATCAATATATAGAACAGTTAGAAAATTCGCAAGCGTAGATTTAGGTATATTCTATTATGTATTTGAAAAAAAATTATATATTCATTTAAGTTCTATCTTTCTATTTAAAATACAGTATTTATACATTGTTAAATGATTTTAGTAAATAAATCTTTTATTTCTTGATTTTATTAATCTATTAGTAGTTATATTATTATTTAAGTGTTTTCTATTAGGTATTGTAAGAACCAAAAGCAAGCTGGGATGTTTATTAAAAACAATTTTAATAATTATTATAAAGATTTTGAAATTAGTTATATGGTTAAATTATTTTCTATTAAATATTTTAAGGCAAATTCTAACATTTATATGTCTTCATTTTATTTATAAAATAATATTGTGTCTTCATCTTTTATTAATTCCTATTTTTTTATTTTTATTGTAAATTCTTTTTTATTAAATACCATATTTTTCAATTCCTCAATGTTTTATGTTTAGTAAAATTTTAATTTTTAAATATCTATAGGTAATATTGATATATATTTAGTGGTTTTATCTTCAGGTTTAAATTAATACATAAATATTATTTATTAAACAAAATTATAGTATTATAAATCGAAGAATACACAAGATTTTAAATAGTCTAGGTTTTCTTTTTATATTTGATCTTTTAATAAAAAATTAATTTCCTAATTTGCTATTTTTTCAAAATTATGTTATTTTTTTATATTTCTCTCATAAAATAAAATATATGCATTTCTACTCTATATTTATATAAATTTAAAGTTAATCGAATTTATATTTTATATATTATTATATTTTAAATACTTTATTTTAATCAAGATCATTCCAAAATAAATCTAAATCATTATTAAAAAAAACATTATTATTATTATTTTTTCCTCCAAAACATTCTTCTTTTAAATTATTTATATTAAAATCATTCACATTTTAATCATTAAATAAATACCATCTTTTGTTAATATTTTTTATATATAAATAAAAAAAAAAATCACTTCTAATTTTCCCTATTTTATATAAAAGAGTAATAATGACCAGATTCTGCAGTTCCACTATGAACTAAAACACCAACAAGTGTATATTAATAATAATCATTACCTTTGTTGATATTTTAAGACCAATCCTTTATATTAAATTCTAAAGGAAATTCAAAGTAATCATTTATTTTCATTCTTTACATTATAGTGTAATTAAACTCAAATCTTTTTAAAGTCAATATAAGGTTATTAGGAAGTTTTTTAAATCTACTTCTTTTTTAAGCCTTAATATTTCGTCCATATTTTTCACAAAAGTATTTATTTTCGCCTTCTAAAATATCACCTTTTATATAAGCATCAAATGCTTCTTGAAGGTTTTTAGAATTATGAATATCAATAGTAATAGTAAGAAATGGTTCAGTAGTTTCTGCATTATAAGGAAATTCATCTTCAAGAGAAATTATTTCATTAGAAAGTTCTCCTCCAATAAATTCTTATAAAATTAATTTATATTAAGTATCTTTTAATTCGGCTTCAATTTAATCTGTTAATAAATTGAAAAATTCATTAACATCTTATTATATCATAGGATTTATAGGTTATCCTTATTAAAAACCTTATTTA